CCAAAGTCAGTCACTGAACAGAACTCACATTGTGTGCTTTTTCCATGAGTAAACTCAGGCTGTCAACACAGCCTCCTCTGCCTACCAGAGCTGCTGTAGTCAGACAAATACTGTGCATCTGTGCCCTCTGTAGAAAAAAAGCTCATTTACAAATAGTTATTTTTTCTTGAATGGGCTTCTGAGATGCCAGAAATATGCATTGTTTACAATAGCCCATTATGTGGTAATAAACCAATTTCTGGATTCCACCTCAAGCCCGGCTTCCGGTTGTGTGTGTGTGTGTGTGCGTCTGCGTGTGTGTGTGTTTGTGCGTGTGTGTGTATTAAGGCTTTGCTAGGGAGTTGCTAGGTTTTCCATACTATCTCACCACCCCAACAAGAGAACATTTTGGCCATTCTACAGACTGAATTGATCAAGCATGCCAAATTAGGCCTTTGTGTTTTTGTTTTGAGCTGGAGAATAGCAACCATTGTGATACAGAGATTGCTCTAGTGACCACTGACTCTCTAATTACCCTATTGGTGCTTCTAAATAGAACACAAACATGTGCTGAAATCTATCCTCCAGTGAGTTTACCATGCTGTTTCCAAGCTTTGTGTCTGCCCATTGTACTCATAAATGTATCCTTTAGAAAATTATATTAATTGGACCTCCAAAGTTTGGAGCATTTCCACGAATGGATACAATATCATTCATTTGAATGACAATAGTATGTCTGCCAGCTGGTTTTCCCAGCGTACTCCAGTCCACCCATTGTTAGAAGTGAATAAGCAATCTGTTTTCTTTGACTGGAGCACATACAATACACTGAAAGTTTTATTCAATGCAAACATTGCACAACATTTAATTCATGGTTTAAAAAGTGTTCATATGCAAATCACTCTGTTGGACAGCAGTACACGTACACACACTCACACATAGACACACTCTTCACATACGCTGCTGCTACTCTGTTTATTATCTATCCTGATTGCCTAGTCACTTTTACCCCTACCTACAATTACCTCAACTACCTCGTACCCCTGCACATTGACTCGGTACTGGTACTCCTTGTATATAGCCTCATTATTGTTATTTTATTGTGTTACTATTTCCTTGTTTGTTTTTTTGCTAATCTTTTCTTACTTTTTAACTCTGCATTGTTGGAAAAGTAAGCATTTCACGGTAAAGTCTACACCTGTTGTATTCGGCACATGTGACAAATACAATTTGATATGATTTGATTTGACACTGACTTAGAAATAAAACCTCTGAAAATCAGCCTGTCTAACTGAAGTTTATTTAACTCAAATGCAGGGATTAGGCCAAAAACCGTTAAAAGTGTTTTTGCTCGCCTTAATTCAGCGGAATTTTCCACCTTCTCTATGACACTATTCAGTAACAAAGTTTATCAATGCGAGCTTTGTGCCTGCCCCCACTGTTCACAGGTTCCTATAGCAAACCGTACAGTACAGATACCTCACGCTAAAGGTATTTTAGGATCCAAAAAGTTGGATTCGGAACCAAATGGCCTGAGGACCACCAGACCCGGATCCGAACGGACCCGAGGACAATCAGACCTGGATCCGAACAGACCCAATATATTTTTTTAAAGGGGGACTCGGCCCCGAACGGACCAGAAAACAATCAGAACCAAACCCGAATGCACCCAACAATAACCAGACCTAGGCCCGACCCATAACCTAACTGGTCCGTTTCTAGACCAGACCCAATTGGACCCGTGTGACAATTGTTTTTATGTTTATCAGCGAAGTTGCTCTTTTGGTTAAGAAATATACAGTGAGGGAAAAAAGTATTTGATCCCCTGCTGATTTTGTACGTTTGCCCACTGACAAAGAAATTATCAGTCTATAATTTGAATGGTAGATTTATTTGAACAGTGAGAGACAGAATAACAACAAAAAAATCCAGAAAAACGCATGTAAAAAATGTTATAAATTGATTAGCATTTTACTGAGGGAAATAAGTATTTGACCCCCTCTCAATCAGAAAGATTTCTGGCTCCCAGGTGTCTTTTATACAGGTAACGAGCTGAGATTAGGAGCACACTCTTAAAGGGGGTGCTCCTAATCTCAGTTTGTTACCTGTATAAAAGACACCTGTCCACAGAAGCAATCAATCAATCAGATTCCAAACTCTCCACCATGGCCAAGACCAAAGAGCTCTCCAAGGATGTCAGGGACAAGATTGTAGACCTACACAGGGCTGGAAAGGGCTACAAGTCCATCGCCAAGCAGCTCGGTGAGAAGGTGACAACAGTTGGTGCGATTATTCGCAAATGGAAGAAACACAAAATAACTGTCAATCTCCCTCGGCCTGGGGCTCCATGCAAGATCTCACCTCGTGGAGTTGCAATGATCATGAAAACGGTGAACTACAGCCCAGAACTACACGCAAGGATCTTGTCAATGATCTCAAAGCAGCTGGGACCATAGTCACCAAGAAAACAATTGGTAACACACTACGCCGTGAAGGACTGAAATCTTGCAGCGCCTGCAAGGTCCCCCTGCTCAAGAGAGCACATATACAGGGCCATCTGAAGTTTGCCAATGAACATCTGAATGATTCAGAGGAGAACTGGGTGAAAGTGTTGTGGTCAGATGAGACCAAAATTGAGCTCTTTGGCATCAAGCATCAACATTTTTGACATGCATTATTCTGGATTTTTTTGTTGTTACTCTGTCTCTCACTGTTCAAATAAACCTACCATTAAAATTATAGACTGATCATGTCTTTGTCAGTGGGCAAACTTACAAAATCAGCAGGGGATCAAATACTTTTTTCCCTCACTGTATCTTTATATGTTGGCTAGGCCTTCTACACTGAAAAAATATATTAATGCAACATGTAAAGTGTTGGTCCCATGTTTCATGAGCTGAATAAAAGATCCCAGAAATGTTCCATTCGCACAAAAAGCTTATTTCTCTCAAAAGTTGTACAATTTGTTTACGTTCTTGTTAGTGAACATTTCTCCTTTGCCAAGATAATCCATCCACCAGAAAGGTGTGGCATATCAAGAAGCTGATTAAACAGCAGGATCATTACACAGGTGCACCTTGTGCTGGGGACAATAAAAGGCCACTGTAAAATGTGCCGTTTTGTCACACAACACAATGCCACAGATATCTCAAGTTTTGAGGGAGCATGCAATTGGCATGCTGACTGCAGGAATGTCCACCAGAACTGTTGCCAAAGAATTTAATGTTCATTTCTCTACCAACGTCATTTTAGAGAATTTGGCAGTACGTCCAACCGGCCTCACAACCGCAGACCACGTGTAACCACACCAGCCCAGGACCTCCACATCCGGCTTCTTTACCTGCGGGATTGTCTGAGACCAGCCACCCGGACAGCTGATGAAACTGAATAGTATTTCTGTCTGTAATAAAGCCCTTTTGTGGGGAAAAACTGGCTCCCCAGTGTGTGGGCATGGCTCCCAAGTGGGTGGGCCTATGCCCTCCCAGGCCCACCCATGGCTGCGCCCCTGCCCAGTCATGTGAAATCCATTGATTAGGGCCTAATGAATTTATTTCAACTGGCTGATTTCCTTACTTGAACTGTAACACAGTGAAATTGTTGCATGTTGCGTTTATATTTTTGTTCAGTATATAAGTCAATAAATTCCCCTTATTAGCGTAAAATAAATATGCTATAGGCTATGCAGAGCCTTGGTCGGATCCATTCAGGTCCACTCTGATCTATCAGCTGTAGTTACATAGACCCGATGACAGTCAAACAGGACCCGACCCGTACCTAAGGGAAAAGCTAGAATTTTTGACCCGGACGGCTCAGTTCCCGGGTCGGGTCTGGGGTATTCGGCTCGGGTGGACCTGTGAAGACCTCTACCTCAAACTCCTGCACTATTTATTCAGAGAAGGAAAAATCCAACACCTTCATCCTCAATTTCATCTGTCAGATATTCCCCTACCCCAAATATGATTCTCTTGCTCAAGTCACAACTTAATGTTTCAACCTTTCTGGGTAAGGCAAACTTCAGACGATTATCATGACGGGGAGCATTGGGTCGGACCGATATGTTCAACCTCAGAGGGTTTGACCACTGAAAGTAATACTTGAGGCATTGGCTGTATGTGGAGTTGGACTGTGCCCTGGGCTCCAGACCCTCCATTTGTCATTTCAGTTTCCCATCTGGTGGGAAAAACCTCAGGGATCTTCTTACAGGTGCTCAAATGTTAGGGATGAGACACATCCTCTGCTAGAGTCGTGTTGCACCAGGGAACCGCCAAAAGTCTGGGAAGGACATCAACAAACCAGCTTCTGGACGATCCACGAACCCCAAGCTTTTTCAACCCATTTTATTCTCTCTCCACCAAAACCATAATGCATGCAGAGATTGTCAAGTATTCCTCTCATATTCAATCATATCATTACATTTCCCTCTCTTATGAGGCAATAAGATATTTATCAGCTTCATGGCGTTCCCTTTCCTAAAGGCCCAAGAAAATACATGAAATAGAAACATAATTACCCATTTTCTCCACAGTCATCAATCATACACTGCTTTATTCCACCCTTCCACTCTCTCTCCCCCAGTCCTCCGTAACAGCCATAGATCTACACTCTAGCCTAGTCCTAGTAGGAGATCTGTGAAATGACTTAGCCATTGACAATTATAGGACAGGATGTGAGTCTGCAGCACCCAATCCCTTGATTCTGTATACATTACAGTGACATGGTAGAACCAATAAACAGTGGTTAAGGATTGGGTAAGCCAAGCTTTGTAAGGTAGCTACTGTTCTTCGACAATATGAGTACAGAGGGGCACTCCAGTCCACTTTTATTTTCCTGAATGGTGTCCAAAGTACACCCCTGAGCCCCTGCACCCCCTAACCAGGGTATCAGGACCATTATGTTGGCTCTGGCATCTGAATAGACAAGCTCTTCCTGCTATGCTAAGTTTAGTGTGATTTCTAAAATAAGGCTCAAGGCAGGAGAAAAAGGCCAGTGTTGAACATGGCCTTGTATTAATGGGTGGTGAGATGGAGAGGCTGTTTGGATTGAGAGCTGGATCCAGTGGGCAGGCAGGGATCAGGGCAGGCATTAGACAGGATGTGCTGAGAGGTTTGTCGTGTCTAGAGCCGAGCGTAGCTCTCACTCTCCGTCCTAACAGGATGCTGTAAAGCTGCCACGGAGTGAAGGGGATCTGAAGACTGTACTGAGCTGTGAACTCAGCCCCCAGCCTGCAACATGAGCACCACTGTTCCACACTGTTCCACTAACACTAGCATGCAGGCCAGGGAGACCCACTCCTCTACCCCCTTTTTCCCTGCCGCCCTGCGAACAGTGTGGGCACTGTTGTAGCCTGGAGCCGGGTGGAAGGTGGTGTTACAGTATGCCTTAGTGAAGGTTGTTATTGTATGTGACTGACTCGGTGTGTGTGTATTTCAGAGGAGCTGAAGTGTGCCGGGATCACATGCCCTGCTATGCCCGTGCCTTCCTGCCCTGAGGGCTCGGTTCTGAGCAAGAGCTACACTCCCCCTGCTGGCTGCTGCCCCACCGTGCCCCCCCAGTGCACCTGTGATCTCCGCGCGTGCCACAAGCCCCGGTGCCCCTCCGGCCAGAAGCCTGTGCCACTCAGCCAGGCCACCGGCGAACCAGGGGACTGCTGCGACGTGTTCGAGTGCCTGAAAGGTAACGTATATAAACCTAGCAAGCCATAAATTGGTGTAGGCTTCTTTGTTTTCTTGCTGAGAGAAGTGGTGCTGGTGTGAAATGTAATGCCTTTGCGGAGGTAATTATTTCAATCAGAAAACAATTTTCCCCCAAAGTCCCAGTTGACTAAATGTCCTGTGATGAAAAGGAGAGTTGGTAATTAGATGGTAATTACGGTTGGGTTGTTTATCAGCCTCTCCGCCACTGCAGAGTGTGACGACGGTTCATATATTTTTTTCAGGGGTATATCTGCAAATAATCATAATGAGCCTCGTTATGCAGATTGTGTCTGTGGAGTGTGTTCGCAACTGGTGTGTGGGTGTGTGTTTGTATGTGTGTTTGTTTGTGAGAGAGAGAGAGAGAGAGAGAGAGAGAGAGAGAGAGAGAGAGAGAGAGAGAGAGAGAGAGAGAGAGAGAGAGAGAGAGAGAGAGAGAGAGAGAGAGAGAGAAAGCGAGAGCAGATGTTGGTAGTGCGGCCAGGTCACTCTCCTCCTCCAACAGCCCAGAGTTAGACTTCACATTCACAGCAGCTAGCCAGTCAGGGAGGCACAGAGTCAGGGAGAGAGGGAGTTAGTCAGGGAGGGAGGCAGGAAGGGGACCTGAACCTGGCTGTTTACTCTGCGCTCCCAGCAAATATTTGCTGTTTTACCAACAGAACAAATTCCCATTCTGGCCCCTCTGTGTCCATAAATGTGTGCCGTGTCCCGGAATGAATGGACTTAATGAGTGCAGTGACCAGAAAAGTGCTTAGGCTACCAATATGCTCAACAGAAGTGCAGTGTCAAAGAGTTCCTGTCTGGTCACACGTCCAAAAGGAAAAGGTTCAACAGTTCATTGATGGGAATGCTTTTTATGTGCTCCAGTCTGCCAGGGGGAGTGTAATCGAGTCAGGCAGGCCGTCGAGGGCTGAATGGCGGCTGCAGAGGCTAGGGGATCAGTGTTTTGATAACAAGTGTCTGCTGCTCTTTGGATCCGGACTTGACACCCTTTGTGCCTGCCCTACTGGCGGTTAGCCCTGCATGACTGCGCCCACATCAGAAAGCACACAGAGAGGGACTGGGGATGAAGACATGGCACCTACCCCCTAGTATCCCCCCTAGTCTCCCACAAGAACTCCTCAGAAAATATGTTGGGTCACTCACAAACACCAAACCCCATCCACAAAACACACTATTATTAACAAAGTTTTGGATTCCTATAATATTTTTCAGTGAAACACATAATAGTACCCAACTGTCAGTGACCTTAGGTATTGAGCACATGTTATTATAGACCAGAGGTTGGCTTTTGGTGGGTATTTGGTCAGTGTACAGACTAATGTGACAATGGGCCTGACCTGTGTGTTTTGCCCATGTTTGACGAGAGACCGTTTCCAGCTCTGGCTGAAGAATGAGTCTGAGTGGCTGGGCAGGAGCTTGCATGGTCTTCCTGACCTGATGTTATGTGACATTACAGATGGTCCCAAATGACCATGCTAACAGCAGCCTACTGTTTATCATCCCTTTGACAAGCAAACAGTCTGGACTCGCGTGTAGCATGGATTTAGGTCAGGACAGGACACTCACTGGAGTTTAACCACGACTTGATGTAGACTAGTATGGTACATGCTTTCCAAGAACTTTAAAGCTGTAAACTGAGAAAAATCCCCTCAGAATTCTTGTTTATAATTTGGGTTTTGCATTTTTGTTTGCTGGGAAAGAGAAGTTACACCATGTCGGTTTGTAATGAATGTTTTAGGGTGGGCCAGTGTCAGGGTTTTATGGCACGTTCAGCCCCAGCCACTATCCCATCCTCAATTTGGATAGTACTGGAAAGCATGAATGGAATTTAGTGTCCCTGCCACAAGTTTGTTTTAGGGATTACCATTAACAAATACTGCGGAAATCACATGTGAACATCCTGTCATGTGACTTCCTATTGTTTCCCAAGCGTTAAAAATGTTTCCATGCCTTTTGATTTCTGCCTGGCAAAGTATTTATTGCATTTTCTCTGCTTGGTTATGCTTCACGCAAGGCAGGCAGGCAGGCAGAGAGACAGACAGACAGACAGACAGACAGACAGAGACAGAGAGAGAGAGAGAGAGAGAGAGAGAGAGAGAGAGAGAGAGAGAGAGAGAGAGAGAGAGAGAGAGAGAGAGAGAGAGAGAGAGAGAGAGAGAGAGAGAGAGAGAGAGAGAGAGAGAGAGAGAGAGAGAGAGAACAAATCCTCACTTTACTTTCAACTCAGTTGGCCCACCTGCTTTGTATTAGAGTGCAGGGCTGGTCCAGGAAGCAGGGAGAAAGGTGAGGGGTCAGAACAGCACTCTACCAGGGTATGGTATACAGATGCTGCCTCCCCCCATGGAAACCTTAATGGGGATAGCTACATCTGTTAGCATCTGGGCACCCTTGACTGCCAGAGCCAGACTTCTCCTGTGTGTGGTGCTGGTACCTCTCCCTCTGCTCCGCCATATATTAAACCATGACCAGGGTCTACTTACGTAACCATTCTCCTGCAGTAACCTAATGGTCATGGTTTTAATGAGAAGCTAATGTGGTCTTTCAAGATCCTGAGTCACTGAGTCATAGGCATAGCCAATGACAGTGTCATAGACAAATGGTTTATCTGGTAATCCAATAAAATGACATATGGCAATCACTGAAATTATGGAACTTCATGGCGATAAAGCTGTCTTTGATTAACAAAATACTAAATAGATAGAGTGCTTTTCCTTTACCACTCTCTTTCTCACACACATACAAACAGCCACTCTCTCGGGGTGTTACAGGAGCATCGCGTGCAGTGGCTGGACGGTAGTGTCTGCGAGGCGGCTGCTCAGGGCTTGTTATGGGTCTCTAATGATCCGTACAGTAGTCATTGTTCTGTGGGTTGGCGCTTGGAGACAGACAGCGGAGGTTTCCGGTACTTACGCTGGCTTTACATCGCCTGTCTGCTGTCTGCAGCTCAGCTCTCAAGATCACACTGTGCCAGCGCATTGCTGTTTTCTTTTACAGAGCACTGGGCTGAGCTGAGCTACGCTGCGAGTGCCGCCTCCACCAAGACTCCACAGATCTCTGCTAAATTCCACCTAATGGAGCTGGCTTCATTGTCTAATGCTGTTGGAGCCCAGTCCCCAGGGCTCTCGGCTCAAGTGCCTAGCTCAGCACGACTATACACAAATACACTTCTGTTCCATCCACAGCTAGCTACACTGTAATTATTGCTTCTGAGTTAATGCACGGATACAGAAGCAACAAACTCATTCTGACCTGGGGTGGATAAGCTATTTAATACATACCAAATGGGATGGTTTAGCATAGTATGGTCATTCACAGCCGTGAATGTATGTTAGCCATCAAGAGCCCCACATGTCGTTCAGGTTGACAGCGTCTGTTTCCCCTTCCACTTTTCCCAGTTTCCCCCAAGTGTGTCCACAACGGGAAGGAGTTTTCCGAGGGGGAGGTGTACCGTATGGACCCGTGCTGGCTCTGCCAGTGTCGAGGAGGGATATCCTTCTGCTCCAAAGCGGAATGTGCGGAACTGGACTGTGAGAACTTCTACATCCCAGAGGGAGAATGCTGCCCCGTATGCATAGGTACACACATCATTTTAAAGTTATACAACAGTATCTATTACAGATAGATAAATAGATGGTTTTATAGATATGTTAAATTTTGTATGACATGACTAGATTGGTGGAGGTGAGCTGGCACAGTCCGGGAGGCCGTTTGTCATTAGTGTTGCTCTGAGTGTGGCCAGACAGGCAGGGAGGCTAGCAGGGAGGTTAGCAGGGAGGCTAGTAGGGAGGCAGGCAGACGTACGGAGCAGACAGGGCTGTAATACATTCCCCCAGGGCTCCCAACACGCTGTACAATATCCTTACCTTAATGGCTTCCGTTTACATCCAGCTGGACTCAACACTCATTAACATGCTTCACATACAAGGACCGGTCAAAAGAATGAGCAATGGGTAGGAGGTCAGGAACATGAACCTCCTTTGAGTGAGTGCTTTGGCTTCATTATATCTGGTTGCCTTAATGGAGGGAGACCCCTTTTGTACCTGACCTCGACACTAAAACACATGCCCTCAGAGGCAGGTAAAAACACTGGTACCTGCGGTTGGAGCTGTTAAAAGGCTTCAGTTTGGGCAGCGCATATGGCCAACAAATGACGGTCTCGTGAAGCATAGTGGTGGTGGTGGAGAGATTTGGCTGTTTGTGTTTTTATAATTGATCAGACACAAGAGAGGGAGGGAGACTGAGGGAGGTTATTGGAGGTCAGTGTTGGAGGTACACCTGGAATGTTCAGCCCCTGAGATTTTGGGGAATGCTTTCATCTTGTGTCCCTGCTTGGCCATGGAAAGCTCCAGTCATTGATGAGGCCATTGTCAGTGTTACTGTGCTAAGCTGGGGATGGTATCTGGTTCGTGGTCGTTATTAAGAGCAACCTAAGCTGCACACCTGTTCTAATCCATTTGTAGACAGGTCAAGTCACCTACAGCCCTAAAAGTGCTTAAAGGCTGTGTGTGAAGGCATCACAATTTGTATTTTTAGGCTTGCTATTGATAGTGTGAGAGATGGATGGAGAGAGAAAGAAAGGGATGGATTGAGAGGAAAGCAGTATAATCACACACAGATTGAGGAATCACAGCAGCCAAATCTCTGCTGGAATCAAATCGGGCAAATAGGACTCTGTCTTTAGGGAGACCCACTCCTTCACCACACACACAAACACACACACACACACACCTCAGCCATGAGGTGGTCATTCAAAAATCCTGTTAAACACTATTATTGCACACAGAGTGAGTCCATGCAACTTATTATGTGACTTGTTAAGCACATTTTTACTCCTTAATGTATTTAGGCTTGCCATAACAATGGGGTTGAATACTTATTGACTCAAGACATTTCAGCTTTTCATTTGTAATTAATTAGATTTTTATTCTACGAAAAACATAATTCCACTTTGACATTATGGGGTATTGTGTGTAGACCAGTGACCCAAAAATTTCAATTTAATCCATTTCAAATGTAGGCTGTAACACAACAAAATGTGGAAAAAGTCAAGGGGTGTGAATACTTTCTGAAGGCACTGTAATGCTCTTGCTATGGAGTGAAATATATGGCGCTGAACCCTGAACTGTTCTTTGGCCTTTGGGGGCACGGATGAAACTGTATCTGTGTAACATGCACGTGGCTGAGGTTAACTCCTCTTAAGGGAAATTACTGGACACTGCAGAGACAGGAAATTAGATATGTATGTCTCGGTGTGCTTTTAATGAACTCATCTCTCTCCAATATGACATGCTCTTCCATCCAGCTCTATTACGTACCACACAGCATTTACAAGTAAGGATGGTATACCAAACAGCACAGTATAGTTGCCACACTTCTCTCCTTCTGATCCCAGCCTCTGTCTGTCTCCCTCTCTGTGTCCAGATGTGGAGCTACTGTCTATGGACAGCACGGAGGCCAGCTGCTGGCTGAACAACAAACTGCGTGGCCACGAGGAACAGTGGAAGGAGGATGATTGCACCTTCTGTCAGTGTGTGGATGGAGAGCCCCACTGTACCGCCATGGCCTGCAAACAGAGCTGTCAGAACCCCGTCAAGATCCCTGGAGAATGCTGCCCCTTCTGCGAGGGTACGTATGGAGATACACACACACAATAATAGCTGTATGCACATACTGTACCTGATCACATACAGCCTGTAGCAGGGAGTACAGTTGGCTTATAGCTGCCTTACACATACAACTGACAAAAACTGACTGGCTAAGTTGAAGTAGTTGGAGATTTAAGTCTGAAAATAGCAAAGAACAGGTCAAACGTAATGCTAAATATGTTCTAGGCATAGCCCACATAGTCATAAGAAGTCAATTTCCTCACAAGGAAATATCTCACGTCACGCTTCTTCTGAAGTAGCCTTATATTGCATGTATAGCCAATGGACATACCAAACGTTTTGATGGAAGATTGAATTTTCTGTTCATGTAGCCTAATAGTGCAGGAAAGACTGTTACATGAACTCACAGTTTTAATCTAATTACAATGTCTAATTCAATGTTTCTGATGTATTGTATAAGGTTCAGGGGCACCACCATCAATCGCATCTGGCATTCCATTGAACTCTTCATATAGCCAACAAAGTGTTTCTGTCAAAGCTGATATCATAAACAACTTGCAACTCACCAGCTGATTTTCAGGAAAACACCCCCATTAATGCCACACCCTCACATGTCAATGTAGCTACATCCGATGTATAACAAGTCAATGTACATCTGGCAATTGACGTCTTCATCGGTAAATGGAACTGTTCCTACTGCGCTGGACCAAACTACAAAATAATTTGTGTTTGACAATACAGTCAGTTTGAGCTTGGAACCTGACTGGTGGAACTGAACTGTAGGATAGTCTCTCCCCCTGAAGCTATGTGGAGGCCATGTTGGCGGCTCATTAAAGGGGAGGCCACGGAGCATTCTTCAGCTGCAGGCTCCTTTGTGATTTTTTTATTGGCCCAGCCCGCAATATGAGACCCACCTGCATGAGGCATGGTTTAGACTGAGGGCTTAAAGCCGATTTATGGTAATTCCGGAGTCTGTATTGGCCGTACAGTTTTCACTGTGATGCGGCCTCTGCAGAAGTCAGGGCATTCATATTTATTGCGCTTCGCGGAGCAGAGCATAGCTGTTGTGAAGGAAGTTGTCAACCAATCATGTCAATGCGGAGCTATACGGAGCTCTCCGCATTGTTACAAAATTTGGGAGGCTCACGGTGATGCGGTACGGAGCTTGATTTGGCCTCCGCAAGCCTCCAGAGGCTCTGCAATTGCGTCACAACTTCCATACGGAGCCTCCGGACTGCATTGCCGGATCAAGCTTAATTGGAGTGGATCACAGTTTTTTCGTTTGGTGCTCCTCCCGCTGAACGTGGCAGGATAATGGAGGGGCCCCCCAACTAGACCCCCACCTAGCTTCCCCTGGTTGTGGCTTGTACATGTGTGACTCAGGCCAGCATTACACCTCATCCCTGGTGGGCTCCAGTGATGATGTGGCCCTCTGGGTCTGTCCAGTGCCAGCCTCTGACTCACCAGACTCCCACACAGGGGCTTCTCTGTTAGGGCTAGAGCCAAGCCAAGCCGTGCTCCTGCACTCCTCCAGGTCGTTTAGACAACATGTGAGATGCTCATTCATCAAAGCCCTATGATAGAGAGCACCTATATCTGGTGTAATGGCCCTGCATTTATCTCTAATCACAGCTCTCTCTCTCAGATGGGAGCAACGTGAACACTGAACCATTTATGTTGGCATGGAGATGGATGTGTAATATTATGTGTCTAACTATACTGTTCTATACTCTTTACTCTCTACTCTCATAAAAGCCTCATTTGAGAATAGCATGACATGTCTCTGAGTGTTATAGGTTTCACAGAGGCAAGTATAGTATGACATGTATAGAGAGTTATAGCAGCATCATATGAAGGTTATAACCTGCTTTTCTGTCCCACAGAGCCTTCGTATGAGACAGTGAGCCCTATGCTGTGTCCTCGTCTGGAGAACTGCACTTTCTCAGGGAAGGACTGCCCCTACGGCTTCCAGCAGGACAACAACGGCTGCCTGCTCTGCCAGTGCCTCAACCGTGAGTCTCACACCAGACACAAAGAGTTAAACACAGATACATAAACACACATATACAGTGCCTTGCAAAAGTATTCATCCCCTGTGGCGTTTTTCCTATTTTGTTGCATTACAAGCTGTAATTTAAATGGATTTTTATTTGAATTTCATGTAATGGACATACACATAAAGTGGTGTGTGCATACAGTGAGGGAAAAAAGTATTTGATCCCTTGCTGATTTTGTAAGTTTGCCCACTGACAAAGACATGATCAGTCTATAATTTTAATGGTAGGTTTATTTGAACAGTGAGAGACAGAATAACAACAACAAAATCCAGAAAAATGCATGTCAAAAATGTTATAAATTGATTTGCATTTTAATGAGGGAAATAAGTATTTGACCCCCTCTCAATCAGAAAGATTTCTGGCTCCCAGGTGTCTTTTATACAGGTAACGAGCTGAGATTAGGAGCACACTCTTAAAGGGAGTGCTCCTAATCTCAGTTTGTTACCTGTATAAAAGACACCTGTCCACAGAAGCAATCAATCAATCAGATTCCAAACTCTCCACCATGGCCAAGACCAAAGAGCTCTCCAAGGATGTCAGGGACAAGATTGTAGACCTACACAAAGCTGGAATGGGCTACAAGACCATCGCCAAGCAGCTTGGTGAGAAGGTGACAACAGTTGGTGCGTTTATTCGCAAATGGAAGAAACACAAAATAACTGTCAATCTCCCTCGGCCTGGGGCTCCATGCAAGATCTCACCTCGTGGAGTTGCAATAATCATGAGAACGGTATCAGCCCAGAACTACACGGGAGGATCTTGTCAATGATCTCAAGGCAGCTGGGACCATAGTCACCAAGAAAACAATTGGTAACACACTACGCCATGAAATACTGAAATCCTGCAGCGCCCGCAAGGTCCCTCTGCTCAAGAAAGCACATATACAGGGCCGTCTGAAGTTTGCCAATGAACATCTGAATGATTCAGAGGAGAACTGGGTGAAAGTGTTGTGGTCAGATGAGACCAAAATCGAGCTCTTTGGCATCAACTCAACTCGCCGTGTTGGGAGGAGGAGGAATGCTGCCTATGACCCCAAGAACACCATCCCCACCGTCAAACATGGAGGTGGAAACATTATGCTTTGGTGGTGTTTTTCTGCTAAGGGGACAGGACAACTTCACCGCATCAAAGGGACGATGGACGGGGCCATGTACCATCAAATCTTGGGTGAGAACCTCCTTCCCTCAGCCAGGGCATTGAAAATGGGTCGTGGATGGGTATTCCAGCATGACAATGACCCAAAACACATGGCCAAGACAACAAAGGAGTGGCTCTAGAAGAAGCACATTAAGGTCCTGGAGTGGCCTAGCCAGTCTCCAGACCTTAATCCCATAGAAAATCTGTGGAGGGAGCTGAAGGTTCGAGTTGCCAAACGTCAGCCTCGAAACCTTAATGACTTGGAGAAGATCTGCAAAGAGGAGTGGAACAAAATCCCTCCTGAGATGTGTGCAAACCTGGTGGCCAACTACAAGAAACGTCTGACCTCTGTGATTGCCAACAAGGGTTTTGCCACCAAGTACTAAGTCATGTTTTGCAGAGGGGTCAAATACTTATTTCCCTCATTAAAATGCAAATCAATTTATAACATTTTTGACATGCGTTTTTCTGGATTTTTTTGTTGTTATTCTGTCTCTCACTGTTCAAATAAACCTACCATTAAAAGTATAGACTGATCATGTCTTTGTCAGTGGGCAAACGTACAAAATCAGCAGGGGATCAAATACTTTTTTCCTTCACTGTATGTATTCACCCCCTTTGCTATGAAGCCCCTAAATAAGATCTGGTGCAACCAATTACCTTCAGAAGTCACATAATTAGTTAAATAAAGTCCACCTGTGTGCAATCTAAGTGTCACATGATCCGTCACATGATCTCAGTATATATACACCTGTTCTGAAAGGCCCCAGAGTCTGCAACACCACTAAGCAAGGGGCATCACCAAGCAAGCAGCACCATGAAGACCAAGGAGCTCTCCAAACAGGTCAGGGACAAAGTTGTGGAGAAGTACAGATCAGGGTTGGGTTATAAAAAAATATCAGAAACTTTGAACATCCCATGGAGCACTATTAAATCCATTATTAAAAAATTGAAAGAATATGGCACCACAACAAACCTGCCAAGAGAGGGCCGCCCACCAAAACTCATGGACCAGGCAAGGAGGGCATTAATCAGAGATGCAACAAAGAAACTAAAGATAACCCTGAAGGAGCTGCAAAGCTCCACAGCGGAGATTGGAGTATCTGTCCATAGGACCACTTTAAGCCATACACTCCACAGAGCTGGGCTTTACTGAAGAGTGGCCAGAAAAAAGCCATTGCTTAAAGAAAAAAATAAACAAACACGTTTGGTGTTCGCCAAAAGGCATGTGGGAAACTTCCCAAACATATGGAAGAAGGTACTCTGGTCAGATGAGACTAAAATTGAGCTTTTTGGGCATCAAGGAAAACGCTATGTCTGGCGCAAACCCAACACCTCTCATCACCTCGAGAACACCATCCCCACAGTGAAGCATGGTGGTGGCAGCATCATGCTGTGGGGATGTTTTTCATCGGCAGGGACTGGGAAACTGGTCAGAATTGAAGGAATGAAGGAGGGCGCTAAATACAGGGAAATTCTTGAGGGAAACCTGTTTCAGTCTTCCAGAGATTTGAGACTGGGACGGAGGTTCACCTTCCAGCAGGACAATGACCCTAAGCATACTGCTAAAGCAACACTTGAGTGGTTTAAGGGGAAACATTTCATGTCTTGGAATGGCCTAGTCAAAGCCCAGACCTCAATCCAATTGAGAATCTGTGGTATGACTTAAAGATTGCTGTACACCAGCGGAACCCATCCAACTTGAAGGAGCTGAGGCAGTTTTCCTTGAAGAATGGGCAAAAATCCCAGTGGCTAGATGTGCCAAGCTTATAGAGACATACTTGCAGCTGTAATTGCTGCAAAAGGTGTCTCTACAAAGTATTGACTTTGGGGGTGTGAATAGTTATGCACGCTCAAGTTTTCTGTTTTTTTGTCTTATTTCTTGTTTGTTTCACAAGAAAAAATATTTTGTATCTTCAAAGTGGTAGGCATGTTGTGTAAATCAAATGATACAAACCCCCAAAAAATCCATTTTAATTCCAGGTTGTAAGGCAACAAAATAGGAAAAATGCCAAGGGGGGTGAATACTTTCGCAAGCCACTGTACCATAAACACACACATACTGGAACTGGTTCCAAATGACGAATCCCTGGCACATCATCTCCATAACACTAACATAAAGCACACACATTAACAAATATCTGTCGCACCTCATTTGTTTCCATGGCTGCATGGTATTTGCCGTTTTTTCTGTCATTGGAATTCGCTCATGAAAAGCCCTTTAGCAAACTAACATGGTGTTGATGGATGAGCCAGCCAATGGTAATGTCACCTCCATGTGAACTGTTTCAGATGACTCCTGCCCTGACCTGGGGAAATACTGCTCCCTGCAATGCCCTGTGGGATATGAGAAGGATGACTTTGGCTGCGAGGTGTGTGAGTGTAGCTCTCCAATGCCCAAGTGCCGACCCCTGACATGCAGCAAGACCTGCCCCTACGGATATGTGTAAGTCCTCTGAATGGTCTCCATATCTTCAAGTTAAACACTGCTCATTGTTCACCCCTTAGTTTCCACCCTGCTCAAAGGCTGTTACAGCACCACTGGTTACGACTGAAAGGCCAAAGCCTGAAGGAATGGTGATTTGTGTGGTTTATTATTGACATGGGCCCTGACATACAATCCGCCCTCTCTTTAGCTGGAAAAACACAATACGTTTCTACGCTGTAGTTATAAATAGTCCTCCTTCACTCATTGTTTGCATTTTTCAGTCATGTAATTTTTTATGATGTAAACTTCAACTGTGTAAACTCTTGGTTATTTGACAAGTGCGCTATTCGCACTGTGAAATATTTGGCTCTGACAATGGAACACCAGTGCTGTATCTTGGCTGACAGTACTATCTGTTGATCTACATGTGTGTACAGACAACATCATATTACTCCAGGTGTAGTAGTTGGCAAGGGACAGTGCCAGGTCTGACTGGGCAGAGAGGAAGTATCGTTACACACCTGGCAGCCTCACCCTCGCCCCACCTGCAAAGATCTAATGGGGCCAACTGAGGGGCCAATCAGGGCCCTAATCTGTGTCTCTGTGGCTGCGTTTACACAGGCAGCCCAATTCTAAACTATTGGTCTTTTGATCAATCACATCAGATCTTTTCACACTTTTTCAGAGCTGATCGGTTTAGTCAAAAGACCAATTAGTGCAAAAAATATCATAATTGGGCTGTCTGTGTAAATGCAGCCAGAGTGACCAGTGCAGTTTGCGGTCCGCCCCTGCCCCTCTACCCCCTCCCCCCTGCACCCCTCTCATAACCCCCCTAACTCAATCAAACATCTGGAAGTGATCTACTCTCCCCAGCAGCACTTTCATTTCATAAATCATCTTTCCGTCTCAAAACAACGATAAAAATCACATCTGCACAAAAGCGGCCTTTATGAATTGTATACAGTGGGATTCTTCTGGTATCTGAACCATGCTCTCTGGAGCCTCCGCTCAAGATGGGCCTGATATGTCTGCACAGGATGCCAGCAGAGAGGCACCCCGAGGGGGAAGAGGAGCAGGAAGCGGTGGCTTCATCACTCATAAGCACCGGTTCAGGACTGGCTTCAGAAGTCTGAATCCTCGATGAGCTAAGTAATGCATCCCTCTTCTAGCAGAGTGGTGCTTCTAACATGGATCAGTGAAAAGACACAGAGACGGCTTCGTATAAATTGGCTGCATTTATGACCTCTGCAGAGAACTCATTTGTGGCGAATGTGCCTAAACCACGATTAATACAAACCTCATAAACTATACTTGCTTTGAACAGTCCAGTTTTCTTATCTCAACAGTGTAGAGGGGAGAAACGTGAGCACTGAGCAGTGGGCTATCAGAGTGGGTCAGAGCCCTAAAGGTGTGTTTACATTGACATTTGGCACAGTTGAGCGCCTCGGGCAGGACACAAAGGAGGACTTAAAGCGTTTCCCCTCCTCAATAGGCCTAAATCACCATCGGACCTGACAGGACGTGCACGGCATTCTCCTGCTGCCCTGCCCGGCACAGAGAAAGCAGCCCCAGAGCCAAGCACGGTGCACCAAATTCCACACACCACCTTTAAACAAAGCCCAGCTCCCAAGGTGGCCAGACTTTCTGTCTCTGTGTTTGTACACTGAGGGCCCAGCCAGCTCAGAGCTCAGCCTGGCCTCTCCATACTGCCTTTACTGCTGTTTCAGCAGAGATTTGCCCTCTGCTAGTGGATCGGCTGCTGTGGGACACAGGGTTAATCTCCTGTTTTATTTATGTGGCCGACAGTGACTAATAGTATAATTAATCCCACCAAACGAGATCAATGTTTAATTGAAAAATGTCTTATGGGTTACTTGTTCCAGAAAAAGCGAGAGCGTGGGAGACACAAATAGAAAGAGAGACTGGAGTGATGGATCAGCATAATTTCTCAACCTGCTACTCATCTACACTGAGTGTACAAAACATGGCATAGACTGACCAGGTGAATCCGGTGAAAGCTATGATCCCTTATTGATGTCACTTGTTAAATCCACTTCAATCAGTGTAGATGAAGGGGAGGAGACAGGTTAAAGAAGGATTTTTAAGCCTTGAGGCAATTGAGACATGGATTGTGTGTGTGCCGTTCAAAGGGTGAAAATATTGAAGTGCCTTTGAACGGGATATGGTAGTGGGTGCCAGGTGCACTGGTTTGTGTCAAGAACTGCAACGCTCTGGGTTTTTCACTCTCAACAGTTTCCCATGTGTATCAAGAATGGTCCACCACCCAAAGGACATCCAGCCAACTTGACAAAACTGTGGGAAGCATTGGAGTCAACATGGGCCAGCATCACTGTGGAACGCTTTCAACACCTTGTAGAGTCCATGCCCCCACGAATTGAGGCTGTTCTGAGAGCAAAAGGTGGGGGTGCAACTCAATTTTAGGAAGGTGTTCTTTTTTTGGGGGGGTTCTTTTTCTTTTGTAATTTTAACCCCTTTTTCTCCCCAATTGTTGTGATTACGATCTTGTCTCATCGCTGCAACTCCGCATCAGGCTCGGGAGAGGCGAAGGTTGAGTCATACATCCTCCGAAACATGACCCGCCAAACCGCGCTTCTTAACACCCGCTCGCTTAACCCGTAAGCCAGCTGCACCAATGTGTTGGAGGAAACACAGTTAAACTGACGACCGAAGTCAGCCTGCAGGCTCCCGGCCTGCCACAAGGAGTCGCTAGAGCACGATGAGCCAAGTAAAGCCCCCCCGGCCAAACCCTCCCCTAACTCGGACGACGCTGGGCCAATTGTGGCCGCCCTATGGGACTCCCGGTCACGGCCGGTAATGACACAGGATCGAACCCCAGGCTGTAGTGACGCCGCAACACTGCGATGCAGTGCCTTAGACCGCTGCGCCACTCGGGAGGCCAGGAAGGAGTTCTTAATGTTTTATACACTCATTGTGCGTTTTATGACATCCATAGCTGGATTCAACTAGGTCACATGTTCTGTGTCTGTTCCTAGCTAAATTACGGGCCGTTTTCTCTCTGTGTGTATCCTCCATAGCTTTAGGCCATTCAGTGGGGGTTTAGTTTAATTTCAGGTCCCTGTGTAGATCGTCTCTCAAACTCCTCAGGGTTTGTTTTTCCTCTGGTACAAACTCATCCCTGTGTCTGGGGCTGTATCTGCTCTCCACAGTTTAACTCCCTGCTCTGTTTACAAATCAACCATGATGAGCTCATAGTTAATAAAGAGCAGGGCCCCTCAGTCCTTATGTTCCTTAATCAACCGGGCTGCATTAATATAATCTGGCCCTGCTCTGGGGCTCACATGTCAGCCAAAGGCTTTGGTAGGGAGTTTTTCCTAGCCACCGTGCTTCTACATCTGCATTGCTTGCTGTTTGGGGTTTTAGGCTGGGTTTCTGTATAGCACTTTGTGACATCTGCTGATGTAAAAAGGGCTTTATAAATACATTTGATTGATTGATTGATTGAGTACCTATCTGAATAGGTTGAATCAAATGGAAAGCATCCGAATTGGCATTAAACCCAGTGCCCTAGACTCTAGCATTGGTATGGTGTTTGTGCTGTGCACCATGGGGCTCTCACGTGTTCCAGGGTGCTGCTTTTATCTGGCCTCTTCAAAGGCAGCTAATATAGCAGGGGGGAAAAAGAACCATATATCTATTATACCAGACCTGACCATCTGGCTCTACGGCAGCACTCCACCAGACCGCTCACAAGACCACTGGGTACTGAACTTTCATTGCAAAATGCATTTAACATGCACCATTTGAGCTGTAAAGATGGCCTTCTTATCTTGCCCTCTCACATTACATATCTGATAAAGACATTTGTGTGCTCTATCTATGCCACAGGAGGAATAAGCACGGCTGTGAGATGTGTCGCTGTGTCAAGTGTCCCCCCTTCACCTGTGACAAGCACTGCAGCGATGGCTACCGGCAGAACAGGAAGGGCTGCTCCATCTGCATGTGCAAAGGTATGGTGCTCATCTGTCTGTCTGTCTCATCTGGTCCGCATCAATGTTCATCCCTCTGGGTCAGCCAGTCACATGACTACAGTTCCATAACAACAAAAGTAGTGTGTGTGTGTGACCATGTGTGTGATTGTGAAAGTGATCGTGTCTGTGTCCTGTAAAATGGTTCAGGGTGAGGAGGAGATGATATACTGTACATTAGAGAGATAAGACTCTCTCTGAGGTGTTTACTTTCTCCTACTATGTAGCAGATGTGATTTGCTGTGACCTTTAGCTGGTCTGCTGTGAAGCCTGTTATGAATGGATGTTTTGATTCTTGTTTTTATTTAGCTCTCTAAGGTCTGTGTGTGCATGTCTGATTAGATTTGCCAACCACACAAGTTAAAGAAAGTTTGTGGACAGCTTATTTATACACTGCCAGTTTTATTTGATGTGTTTATTTAATTTTTTCAGTAATATTATAAATATGTTAGCTTGGCATATATTTTTGGTTTCTTGCTTAGCACCCCATTTCCACACAGACACTCATGTCTATTCCAGGGTCCTGATGTTTACCTTATTTTGATACTCTTGGATCAGGTACTCAGTGGACTGTTCAAGTATTTATGGATAGGAAACTTTTGGGTAACTGTACCTTTTTCCCTGTGTATAACAGTGTGTTATAACAGTGTTGTTAAGAGAGAAGAGACACAAACATCCGCACCGGATGTGGAAACATGGTGCGATTCACTGAACTACTACAGTACGTTCTATTCTAAAACACTGTTCTACCCAGACTTAACAGCCACACTGGGTTTATAACACATTGGAGGCCAGTTATTGGCATTTGTGGGGTTTTATAAACGAAACCTGTCCCTCAAAAGAAACACAGGACCTCAGTTTTGGGTCCGGTGCCAAAAACCTCAGAGAAATGATTAAACTGTATTTATTTGTGGTGCTGTTGTAAATGGATTATTGGGAAATAAAGGGACTTTAAAAGGAAGGTCACATATTGGTGTTTGATGAAGGTGGAGCTGAGAGGATCCAGGGACTGTAACAGAGCCAAGACAATAACATTGGCTGCCTTAAATAGTTATTCTTAATGAAATGTCCACTTTGAATTTACTCCTGTGTTTCTCATGCCCTGAAACATCCCTGGTGACTGTTTCTCACAGGTTCAAGTCACCAGCCTCCCTCCCTGCCTAACGTCTTTTTGTCTGTGTTCATGTTTGTTTTCCAGAGAGTGGCCACATGCCAAGCACCACTGCCCCCACCCCTATGCCCAGCTACTGCCTGACCTCCAACGGGCACCGCTATGAGAAAGGCGAGAGCTGGCACGACGGCTGCCGCGACTGCTACTGCCACACTGGGAGAGAGATGTGTGTGCTCATATCCTGCCCTGTGCCCAGTTGCCCCAACCCCGTGGTCAGGCCTGACCAGTGCTGCCCCACTTGTGAAGGTACATCTCGTCTATCAACACACACCTACACAGACAGATCTGGCAGGTCACAGTCCCCCAGGATCTCACTCTCCTAAGAACCCCAGTCCACTTACTGCCCCAGCAGTCAACCCAGGCCTCAGGCTCCATAAACACTTTGTGTTTCTGTAAGGAGTAACACACACTGATACACAGTTACACACCCACGCCTTTTCATCCACACCCCTCCCAGTCACTCAGGATATTTATAGGGGAGTGACTAAGTGGACTGTTCAAATATTTAGGAGTGAAAGAATGTCTACAACTTTCAGTTGCCCGTTTGTCAGGAGACAAGACATTCCTATTGGGGAGTCAAATGTTTTATCTGTACAGTTGTACTAGACTAGAGGATACTATGGTCAACCACAAATAGTTGTGTAACTGCCAGGCTTTAGTCTTTCACCATTGATCTCACATCTAATTGTAGTAAGATGTGAATCTTGTTCTTTGTAGTCTCTGCACTCTTTGAGTGTGTTGTTGTGTTGCTGTTATCTGTCTCTCCTAACCTATGTGTCGTCTGTCCAGATGAGTCAGGCAGTGGTCAGCCGGAGGGCATGGACCTGGTGGTGTGCCGGGCCCCTGGGGGGGAACTCTATGTGGAGGGAGAGACCTGGAACCTGGACGACTGTACACGCTGCACCTGCAGGAAGGGCCGCGTCCTGTGTGACACTGAAGTGTGTCCCCCTGCTGTGTGTCAGGCCCCAACCAGGAACAAGGACACATGTTGCCATGTCTGCCCAGGTACAGTACCTTACATCCCCTGCATCTGTCATAGGCTGCTTTACTAGGAAACATGTAGTGCCAAGCCAATTTCTTCTCTGTAAATGTAGAACTCTATCATCATATTAGCCTTGACAAGAGCAAATTCAGATAATATCAAAAGCCCTTACAGTACATCCAGGAATAACTCCAGAAGGAAATGTCAGTTTGTGGTCAGTCAGAGTGGGATAAATCTGAGCTGGAGCCATTATCAGCAGCATGTGGTTGTGGACTGAGGGGCCTTTCCTGGGTGCATGATGCACGCTGTCGGAGAGTTTAATGTCAGGCTTTTAAAGAAACCAGACCAAACCGGCTGGGTTTACATGGGGATATATCCTCCAGACAGGAACACGTGGACAACCCTGTCTGTTTACACTGGTCATTTGTAGGGCCAGGAGTTTTTCCCGGCAATGTGATATTACTAGGAAAAACTTTGGGCCCTAGTTATAGCCTATATAACTAGTTTATCGTGGTCAGATCTGCACTATTTCAATACCCCCGCCCCTCTCTCCTCCCACTGCCCTACCACCTCCCGCTCCTCACTCCTCCCCCCGCCCCACCACCACCTCCCGCTCCTCCCCCCGCCCCACCACCACCTCCTCCCTCCCCAACCGCCGCCCAACCACCACCTCCTCCCGCCCCACCCCACCACCTCCTCCCACCCCACCTCCCGTCCCACCACCTCCTCCCGCCCCTCACTCCTCCCTCAGCCCCTCAAGCATGAGCCCCACAAATAAAAAATGCATGACTGCCCCTGAAACCCACAGAGCCTCCTTGGGAACGCTCGGCTAGCTGCGTTATCACCACATCTCCCCCCAGAAAAGCAGATTGTCATAGGCAGCCCTTTGATATATGTATGGGCCTAGCTCTAAGGAATGTGGGAATAACACACATTTCAATGACAGGCCCCATGATGTATGTGTACAGTACTGCTGAGATGTACAATCTAACTAAAGCTTTGGTCACAGGAAGGCCATTGATCTATGGGCCTGGGGGAAATGAGATACAGAGATAAGCCTGAGATTTAACTGACAGACAGCACAGAAGCCATGTGTTCCCTAGTCATTAAATAGCCTCCTGCTAGTTTTTACCGTCCAATAAAAAACATCTTATCTCAAACACAGACTTACAGTCCCAATAACCACTCTGGATTAACATGCTATACTGCCGGTGATAGCCTGGGAGCCAGGGGAATATCTGTGATAAAGTTAACCCTTGGTGTGCCTCTCTCTCCATCCCTCCGTCCACAGAGGGTCCCCTGCTCCCAGTGAGCACCAGTCAGCAGGAGTACTGTATCTCCAGCGAGGGAGACGTGCTGTTGGCTGGGGACACCTGGAAGGCCAACGCCTGCACCAGTTGTTCCTGCAACAACGGAACCATTCAGTGTTTCTCCCAGCGCTGCCTGCCTGCCAACTGCAGGGTGCCCGTCCTGCGCAAGGGCCAGTGCTGCCCTCACTGTCTGGGTAAGTGTGGGGGTGGGGACGGACCCATATTAAGTATGCATTAAAACAAGTTGTTCCTTTGGGACAAGGTACAGCTTGTTATTGAGAAAAGTATTATTCACAGTGTAACTTGTAGGAAGGGAGGAAAAGTCTTCAGATTTTTCGGTTAGCTAGAATAAAGCAAGTGTGTACGAGTCGCATCCTGAGTGCCAGTCTCGCTGGCGCTGCATGGGAAAACACAGTTACTCACAGCAACATTCCATGTGACACAACCCACTCCGAGCAAAAACATTCCCCAAGCATCCGCACATCCTCTGTAGCTCAGCTGGTAGAGCACGGCGCTTGTAACGCCAAGGTAGTGGGTTCGATCCCCGGGACCACCCATACAAAAAAAACATGTATGCACGCATGACTGTAAGTCGCTTTGGATAAAAGCGTCTGCTAAATGGCATATCATATCATCATATCATCACATTCACACGTGTTTCCTGTCTCCGGCTGAGCCGGCCCGCCACTCTCAATGCCGTCACAAGAAGGCAATGCTCTGTCAGCTTTTCCTATAGAGGAAAACCTTGGCACAGGCCTGCATTGTTCCCTGTGATTTGTAGCCGTTTCATCTTGGCTTTGTTTTGGTTATTTACTCAGTGGAAAACAGCACTTTTACATAAGACTCTTGACAAAGGAGGGTCATGGAAGCTTAGGGAACACGTCCTGCAAACACACCTTATCTACAGACACTTCTGTGATTTACTCCTGTGTTTGTTTTTAGTTCAAGTGTGTTTGACATGAGTGACTAGGTATGTGAATTATGGTTGTGATATCCTGATTTACAGAAATGACAACAACGTCTGTTCCAATGATGGTGTCGACCAAGGCCCCCAAGACCAGTGCTACTACCACAGTGGACAACACAGTCTGGATCACCACTGCCACTGTGCCTCCTATCATCGCTGCTACAGGTAACACTAACTCTGTCTGCCTGCCTGTCTCTCTTTCACCCTCTCTTTCACTTACTCACTCACTCCTCCTATGGCCCACAGCGATGGTTAACTAATAATAATATGGGACTGGGTGGTAACAACTGCCTCAGCTCAGCCCTGTGACTTGGCATCATTGTCCATACTTTCCCATCCAGCATGTTGAGGATGTTTCCATTGTTGGGGGGGATATAGGGACACTTTGACAAATGAGCTAAATGCACACTGACACATGATAAATCGATGTGGCCAAAATCATACTAACCCGTAAGAGTCCTGGGACAGAGACCATTCATCTGAAGACTGTATCTGACGTATTGGCCAGGGAAAACTGCCAAACACTAAGGAAGGACATGAGCTGCTTTTCATTTCAATTGATTAGAAGGGGAATAATGTAATGGAGATATTGGCCCGTGTGACAGCAGTGTGTGTAGTCTAGTCTTTGGGGGAGAGCTGATATTGATACTGCTTGATTCTCCTTGCAGACGGAAACAGCCTGGGAGAGAACTTCCCCAGCCAAACTGAGATGGCTCTCATCTACCAATCAGCAGCCTGGATACTGGCCTGTCTACTCCTGGCCATTGTCATCTTCCTCATCGTGGCGCTCTTCATCAACAAGAAAAAGAAGTGGGTGCAGATGTCCTGCTACAGCGCCCCCAAGAAGGTGAGAGGCAATGTGGGTAAATCAGCTCATTAGGCCCGTACTGTACGCACAGCTTCACCAATGAATTGCAACATTTCCATTTGAGCAGACGCTCTTATCCAGAGCAACTTCAGGGTTAAGTACCTTGCTCAAGGGCACAGACAGGTTTTTCTCCTAGTTGGCTCGGGATTCGAACCAGCGACCTTTCGGTTACTGCCCCAACGCTCTTAACGGCTAGGCTACCTGCTGCAACCCAGCGCAGACATTACTTCCTTTTTTTACGGCATTGCTGCCCAAACTTAGACCCCTGTGGTGATAATCATAGCACCATAGCGGGGCGGGCGGTTGTTTTGGGTTTTAATCTGTGGGTGGGTCGTGGGTTTTCCTTGATCTTCCAGCTCCTGCTACAACCCGTGTTCAGGGTGTCATAAAGTAGGGATTCATGTCTTTTCCAGCACTTAATTCTGAAGGAGCTCTTTGAACTGTGTCAAGTTTATCATAAAATGTGATAGTTTTACAACACCGCCATGAAATTAGGCTAGTGGCACAGAAAATCGTAAATCGTCACATACTTTCTGAACAGTCTCTCCCGTCCGAACTAGACATAGTGCACGCTAACACAAAGCAGTAGGATTCAATCAATAACTGGCAAGATAATTGATATTTGAAACCCTGGGAATCTTCCCTTTCTCTCTTCTCCTTTCTTAGACTGTGATCCTGAAGAAGCATGTGAATAAGAACTCGTTGGTGTACATGGAACCTTCAAAGGAGAACAAGTTCCAGAGCGTGAAGAATGACTGCGGCATCAACTTCTCCCCAGAGATGAGCTCACCGTGTGTGGAAAGAATGAGCATCCCTCGGGCTAAGCTGAGTATGGGCCAGGGCAGGGGGCAGCGCTAGATCCCTCCAGGCCCCCTGACCACCAGCCCTCTAACCGGACTCCCAAACTCTACACCGCCCACAGGGCTACCCAGCACTTCCTCTTCTCTCTTTCACACATTTCCATGGTGATCGATCCACAAACTATACATTGTACTGTACAGCCACACACATGCCTGGGATTCCCCCCCTTCTCTCTCTCTCTGGCAGTAAAACTGATGATCCACAACGAAACACAAAACAATGCAACTTCCTGTTGCTTTATCATACTGCTATATCCTGCGTTTGGAGCTTTACTGTGGCCTGGCTGCTGGTGCAGTGAGGAGAGACAGGGGAGGCAGGAGGATGTGGCCATTCTGGGACTTTGCCATACAGTTCACCACAGACAGAGTGACAGTCAGAGAGACTACTACTCAGCCAGAGAGCTCTGGACTGTGAACATTATCATTATTGCTTCTCGCCTCCTCTGGAACTGGAACATGAAGCTAATAGGAGGAATATAAAAAGCTTTAGGACAGCGGTTTGGGTTCTAGTCTAGAGGGTCTCCAGTCTGCTGGTTTCCATGTGCTGCAGCGCAGCACTCAATTGATCAACAATTGTTTTAGATGTGAAGCCAATTTAACTTGTCTTCCTGTTGTAATCAAAATTGGATGGGAGGGATTAGCAGATATGGCTAGATCCATTACTCTCTCCTCTCCACAGTCAATGACTGAGCAACATCAAAACCCAGCAGACTCAGGGAAAAGAGACCCATACTCCTGCTTTAGAACGTGTGGTTTCCATCTTAGCTTCTTTTTTTTTGTATTTCTATGTGTACTAGTTGTAGTGTATTTCTTGGTTTTGTTATGGTCTCCATGGTGGCAAGATTAAAACATTGTAAACGCCAGACTAAACATTACCCATTAACGCAGAGGAAGGATACTCTTCTCTTCCCACTTACTGTAGTGGTTTCTGTCTGCCTCAAGGATGATGACCAAGTCATTCCATTCAGAAAACAACCAACCACCCTGGAGAGAGGGAACAAATACAGTATGAGTGAATGTAGTCTTCCTCAGCTGTGAAGCCAGTGTGTCTGTAATACAGGAGGGTCCTTCATCCTTCTCTACATTTTACATTTTAATCATTTAGCAGACGCTCTTATCCAGAGCGACTTACAGTTAGTGAGTGCATACATTTTTTTTTTCATACTGGCCCCCCGTGGGAATCGAACACACAACCCTGGCGTTGCAAGCACCATGCTCTACCAACTGAGCTACACGGGGCTGACTCTACTCAATAACTCTTAGTCTGGTTTCCTTCAGAAGGAATCATCCCATTGACTGAACTTCATCATGTAGAAATGGAAATGGACTTCAAGAGTAAGTGGACTAACATGATTCCAGACTTATTTTATAGCTTGCAGATAAGAGGACTCGTTACAAGAAACTACAGAAGCAGTGCCAGACCTTCTGGAGTGACTCATGAGGAATGTCGATATACAGTAAACCTCACTTATATGTTAATTTACAGCCGTGCGCAAACAGGAGCTACTGTTTCCAGAGAATGTTAACATGTACATTAGTAGCCTTAATTTTATAGCCTTAAATGTTTATCATATTTCATTGTTTCTCCTATAATGACATATGCTAGCCCAATTCAGTACATTTTGAAGAGTTCAACTGATGTGCTATGTATTCCATGTCCAGGTAACCTGACTGAAGGTCTCCCCATTCCCACCAGTTTATAACGTATTACAGCGAACAGGGCCAAGGGGCTCAAGGAGACTGCTATGAACTATAAATACTAGTCCATTACAACATCAGCGCATGTTCATGAAATGTAGCACTTTTGTTAGGATCCAGTGTTTTAAAAAGCTGTGGGGGAGAATTCCTAGAGGGATAAAGGCCTAATCGGGGATTTGATAGGCATATTTAGCACATAATGATAAACCACTCAAGTTAACATACTGTTGCAGCACAGTCTTGGCTTGTTAACAATCTGATCTATCTAGTGAAAGAGCTGTGCTTGGAGCATTACAAAACAGACTGGGGTTTAATAAGAAATCTTTGGACCTGATTCTGTAGATACATTGCCACTCTCTCGATACAAAGACCATTGTGATGACAAAACTGGGTGGAGACAAATGTAGATTTCTATTGAAGAGTTTTAAAAGTAATTCAGTAGATTTGTTTGAATCACAACCATGAAGTGAAGAGGCGACTTGTAAAAGCTTACGCAGTTATTTGTTTTTCCTATGTGTAAAAAAGGTAGATAAAAGTAGTGGACAGCAGAGTACCTTATTTATTTTTTCACATAGCTTTATTTATTAATACTAATCTATAGTTTGAGATGTGTTTTTGGCAAATGAACTTGGTAGCCAAAGCTGCTGTACATTTTCGATATTGTAAACCATTTACCATTTCTATCTGCTTTGTTTTTCAAGCTTATTTATTTTACTGTTGCAAACTGTAAATACATTTTTCTTAGATGTTGAACTGTAACATTTACACTTATTTTGAAAAAATAAAATGTGTGAACAAAAATAACTTCGCCTTTAACGTTTAGGAAGACATTTCAGGGTTTGTGTCATTTTCATGGTGAGATCATGTTTGCAATTATGAAGTGTGCTGTGCTTATAAAAAGACTGGACTGGAAAACCCTCCAAATAAAATAAATATCCATATCCATAAATATCAACTTACCAACAGATGGGTTCAAAAGAGGAAAACATATCATACTATGGTTAGATGTGACATCTGTTCCTTTAACTACTCTTGCCCAGTGCTGCCGAAGGTGATCAGCTTTCCCTCTCCCTTAGTTTGCAGAAGGTTTTAATGTTCCCTTTTCTCTTTAGCATTGTTGCTCTGCTTATCTGTGTTGTGTTAAGAGGATGTGGACGGCCAGGGATGTGTGTGTGGTGTTTCTCAAAGCCTAGAGCAGGGTTCCGCAACTGGCGGCCCGCGGGAGGTTTTATTTGGTACGATCTTTGCCCCCATGTGCAGTTGCAAACCGTAGTCTGGCTTTTTTATGGCAGTTTTGGAGCAGTGGCTTCTTCCTTGCTGAGCGGCCTTTCAGGTTATGTCGATATAGGACTCGTTTTACTGTGGATATAGATACTTTTGTACCTGTTTCCTCCAGCATCTTCACAAGGTCCTTTGCTGTTGTTCTGGGATTGATTTGCACCAAAGTACGTTCATCTCTAGGAGACAGAACGCGTCTCCTTCCTGAGCGGTATGACGGCTGCGTGGTCCCATGGTGTTTATACTTGCGTACTATTGTTTGTACAGATGAACGTGGTACCTTCAGGCGTTTGGAAATTGCTCCCAAGGATGAACCAGACTGGTGAAGGTCTGCAATTTCTTTTCTGAGGTCTTGGCTGACTTCTTTTGATTTTCCCATGATGTCAAGCAAAGAGGCACTGAGTTTGAAGGTAGGCCTTGAAATACATCCACAGGTACACCTCCAATTGACTCAAATTATGTAAATTAGCCTATCAGAAGCTTCTAAAGCCATGACATCATTTTCTGGAATTTTCCAAGCTGTTTAAAGGCACAGTCAACTTAGTGTATGTAAACTTCTGACCTACTGGAATTGTGATACAGTGAATTAATTATAAGTGAAATAATCTGTCTCTAAACAATTGTTGGGAAAATTACTTGTGTCATGCACAAAGTAGATGTCCTAACGGACTTGCCAAAACTATAGTTTGTTAACAAGAAATGTGTGGAGTGGTTGAAAAACAAGTTTTAATGACTCCAAGTGTATGTAAACTTCCGACTTCAACTGTGTGTATATATATATATACATACATATATATATATATATATATATATACATATATATATACACATATATATATATATACACATATATATATATATATACACATATATATATATATGTATATATATATATATATATATACACATATACATATATATATATATATATCCCCTGCTGATTTTGTACGTTTGCCCACTGACAAAGAAATGATCAGTCTATCATTTTAATGGTTGGTTTATTTCAACAGTGAGAGACAGAATAACAACGACAAAATCCAGAAAAACGCATGTCAAAAATGTTATAAATTGATTTGCATTTTAATGAGGGAAATAAGTATTTGACCCCTTCTCATCAGAAAGATTTCTGGCTCCCAGGTGTCTTTTATACAGGTAATGAGCTGAGATTAGGAGCACACTCTTAAAGGGAGTGCTCCTAATCTCAGTTTGTTACCTGTATAAAAGACACATGTCCACAGAAGCAATCAATCAATCAGATTCCAAACTCTCCACCATGGCCAAGACCAAAGAGCTCTCCAAGGATGTCAGGGACAAGATTGTAGACCTACACAAGGCTGGAATGGGCTACAACACCAACGCCAAGCAGCTTGGTGAGAAGGTGACAACAGTTGGTGCGATTATTCGCAAATGGAAGAAACACAAAATAACTGTAAATCTCCCTTGGCCTGGGGCTCCTTGCAAGATCTCACCTCGTGGAGTTGCAATGATCATGAGAACGGTGAGGAATCAGCCCAGAACTACATGGGAGGATCTTGTCAATGATCTCAAGGCAGCTGGGACCATAGTCACCAAGAAAACAATTGGTAACACACTACGCTGTGAAGGACTGAAATCCTGCAGCGCCCGCAAGGTCCCCCTGCTCAAGAAAGCACATATACAGGCCTGTCTGAATAATAATACTATGCCATTTAGCAGACGCTTTTATCCAAAGCGACTTACAGTCATGTGTGCATACATTTTTACGTATGGGTGGTCCCGGAGATCGAACCCACTACCCTGGCGTTACAAGCGCCATGCTCTACCAATTGAGCTACAAAGGACCACAAGTTTGCCAATGAACATCTGAATGATTCAGAGGAGAACTGGGTGAAAGTGTTGTGATCAGATGAGACCAAAATCAAGCTCTTTGGCATCAACTCAACTCGCCATGTTTGGAGGAGGAGGAATGCTGCCTATGACCCCAAGAACACCATCCCCACCGTCTAACATGGAGGTGGAAACATTATGCTTTGAGGGTGTTTT